CATCCAGACTCTCTTGATTAGAGTTAAAGCCACAGAATGGAAGAAAGAGGCAGAAACAAAGAAACCCTGTGGAGAAACAAAGTTCTGTTGGGAGGGAAGGCATCTAAAAGATTAAATGCCAGTAAGAATAACAGAGTCATGGGACATTCAGGGAGCCTAAGGTCACCTCTGCTCATCTTGTGGATGAAATGGGAGATACAGGCATGGGGAAACACCACAGGTGGGATGATAGAAAATACTGGTGGGTGCTGCTTAGAAATGTAAACCAATCAAATCCCAAACTCAACAAAAGCATTAATCAATGGCACAACTTCTGAATCACCCAAGAGCTCAAAATCTCAAAGATCTCAAGGTCTCAAAATCCATTCCTACATTTACTTGTCAGTCAGGTATGAGGGAAGATTATCGAGGACAAAGTCTGGTGCAATGGTCCAGACTTGAGCTCCTTTGTGCCAACAGACAAATGACAAGCAACCTTGAGCTCCTAAGGACTTTATGTTTGAGTATGTGCGCTAGGGACATACTTCATGGCCCCCTAGCCCTTCAAGCCTGCAGTATTTTCTCCACCTTTAAATTCACAGCTCTTTCTACACACTAATTATTTGGCACACAGGCATTAAAAACAGGGTCTTTTCCAGCCAAAAGGAAACAAGGAGGAAACTGCTGCAACCTTCTAGTTAATAAATGTGGGGGAAATGAGACAGCAAAATCAAAGATCACACAGCTGGTCAGAGACAGTATTAGAAGTCAGATCTCCCAAGTTCCGCATAGCGGGCTGACACAGGGGGCTGCAAACGACCAGGCTGGCCGTTGGAAACCCAAGATGCTCTATGGACGAGCTCTATGGATGGAGCTCACCGTCTCGGAAACCCACTGTCCTGCAACGTCACGATGAGTCCACATCGACTCCATGGCAATGCCTTTGGAGCACTCCTTCAACCGTTGGCTTCAAGCATATTTTAATTTTTAGATCGTTTTAATGGCATACACTTCACATATACAATTTAATCATTCAATCATATTAAGACTATATGACCATAATCAATTCCAGAACGTTTTATTCTTGCACTCATTATTGTTTCCCCCATCCTCCCCTGGCTCTCTGTTTGCCCCATCCTCCCCTGGCATGACCCTAGGCAATTATCAATCCAGTTACTGTGTCTATAGATCTATCTATCCTGGATTTCACATGCTCAAAAACATACTAAACCCAAACAAGAGACAATTATGGTAAATGCAGTTAGGTTAAAATGTAATGCCATTTGATCTCTCTTTGGACCCAATTGTAGGTTGTGTTCATTTTTTTTTTTATGTTTAAGAGAGAGTTTTATGTAAATGTTAAGTGCACATCAAGAAAACATCCCAACCCAGTGCTGCCCAAGCCCTCAAGTCCAACAGTAACCCATACAAAGTCCTCTTCCATCTCTAAAAGCAAACACAATGATGCCAACTGCAGGAGGAAAGTCGAGTCAGTGAGTGTGTAAGCATCTCAGCACTGGCAGGGGTCTCCACACGGCTGCTCCAGCACCCAGGGCTGCATTGGGGTAGGTCCATGTGGCTTCTCCTCAGGGGTGTCTTGCAGGAAGTAAGACTTGTCAGCTGAAGCAGGGTTGTGTTCATTTTTAATATTTTCTGCTTTCTCTTTTATTGAGGTTTTCCTATGTTTTGTGTAGTCATTGTTGTTGGTTTTCCTTGTTCATTTTCTTCTGGTTTCTGTTTTGTATGATTTTCTGTATTCTAATGCATATTTTTAAGTGGCTATTCCCACTTAGAGATTCATAACCTGTAAATATGATATCAATTTAAAGTGCAAATTCCCACATTGTTTTTGGTACCTATACAGTCTCTACTGGATGTGGTGTTTGTTGCCCTTTCTCGACCTTTTTACCCTGCTGCTCACTTCTGTGCCTCTAGGTCTCCAACCAGGGCCAAACAGACCAAGAGAATCAGCCAGCACTAGCACTTATTATAGGACTTCACATAGGGTAGGGTGAGGGTGCCTGCTCTCTTCATATAGGGGCCCCTCCTGGAGGACAGTCACTGTGTCTTTTTTTTTAAAGACTTAATTACCATCATTTAGCCAGTGGATCCTAATTCACACTTAGATGGCTCCCACACTTGGCTCAGTACCTGCACTTGGAGGTAACCAAGACACGGCTATTGAATAACTAATTAATTCGCCACCAGTCTATGACATTCTGCACAGATTTCGCTTTTCCAATTCAATTCACAGCAATTTCGTTTGCGTTAATCTTACAAGAATTGAGTACAGCTGAAATTTACCTCTATCTAGTGATTTGGAAATTCAAGGGTTCTTATTGGCAACTGTATTTATTTTGAGATAGAAGCTGTCTGGACCTCCAATCCTCAACCACCTCAACCTGAAGGAAGCCACAGGCAGGTGTGCAGACTTGGTTATGTATTTTATTTATGTGATCTGTCTTCTCTAGAGGAAGGAAGGGGAAAGAAAGGAAGAAAGGTCACCAGGGAGGTTGGAGAGTCAACCTGAGGGACTGACTATTCCTTGCGAGGCAGTTCTGTGTAAATAATACCGCTGTATTTAAAACCCAAGCTATCCTTCAACATTGGCATTTTTCTTATATTAAAATTCAGGAATCAAGGAGCATTTCAGTAGGGATCTCCGATCATGTGGCTTATTCAGTAGCAGAGACAAACTTCAAACCATGTCTGTGGCCTCCAAAATCCATTCTTCTTTTAGCTCATTCTCCCAAATATACTAAAGAACTAAGTCTCGGGGAAAGAAGTGTGAATTTTGTGACTTTCAGCAAGACAGGTAAAGAACTCTCAACCTTGCAAAAGGCAATAGGGCAAATGAGATTTGGAATCAAGCAGTCCTCAGAACTCCTTCTGATCCTCATCACATGTAAGACGAGGGGATCAGAGGCCTCCGGAATCTCCCTTCCACCTCTAAAAAGGCAGTAAGTCTACTTCCACACCTTGGTGTTTTCATTTGCTCAAGGGGCAAGTTGCAAAACCACTGGCACAAACTACCCCAAGCTAGTTCCCAAAGTGCTGCACAAACCGGGAGCCAAGGGCACCTTAAGTTCTCAGACAGGTGAGAAATGCAGGTGCAAGCTTCAGAGACAGAGATCTGGATTCAAATCTAAGCTCTGCCTCTTAATTTCATTGTAGCCTTAAGTTCTGTCGAATGATAATGCTATATGTGTTCCCATTGATTGTCACTAGGATTCAATAAATATGTATTCACCCTTGATTACTGCCACCACTGTAATAAGTGTGGCATGATACCCATAAATGACATAAGGCTTATATGGCAAAACTTCAAAAATTGCCGTGACTTCAAAGGTGAAATCAAATTGGGCATATATGTCATATAAAAATACTTTCAGGTCTCAGCCACTCGGGTGTGTTTTCTAGACTGGTGGACAAGAGAGTGGTGGCAGGGAAATTTGCAGCTGTCTCTTCCTGATATGTCAAAAGTGTCAGCATCACCTTTATCTCATTTACTGGGATTAATGGATTGGCTAACCCATCTATATCAAAAGCTTTGCAGAAGTCCAAATTATAAAATTAAGAAAAACAAGCTAGATGTTCCCATAAGAATTACTTCCTCTTTTCTTCTCTTTGACAAACACGGACATCCTCATTTTCACTTGACCTCATCTTGAACACAAAGTCCCATATGATTTTCCTTGGGTACTGAGTACTGTATAAGGGTCTCTATGCAAGGTCAAGCCTCCCCCAGCCACCCCCGAAACCAAGAACCTCCTTGTTGTGTGGCAAAGCATGGTCTGTGGCCAGCTCTTCTTCTGTTCCTTAGATGCTTCATGTGAAAGCTCATGCTTTGGGCTGCAATCCCTATGACTCAGAGCGTGACAGGAAGGAGCACCTTTAATACTGAGGGAATGTAAGGTTTTAATGAGGTCAAAGCCTAGGGTACACTACCCAAACCTCAAACCTACTCCCATTTAAGAGAACCTACATAAGGTTTCCAAGACTGTAAAGTTTTACAGGTACAGACAATGTCCTCTTTCTCCCACGGAGCAGTTAGTGGATTTGAACAGCCGACTTTGAGGTTAGCAGCCTGTGCTAGTCTGGGTTGACTAAAGGAACAAATCCAGAGACATTCGTATGTGTGTAAGAAAGATCTTTATATAAGGAGTAATTGTATATTAAGAAAACATCCCAGCACAGTCCAGATCAAGTCCATAAGTCTGATATCAGCCCATATGTCCTATACCAATCTATAAATTCCTCTTCAGACTCACACAACACATGCAATGACACTGAATGCAGGAAGATCATAGGCCAGTGGGTGGACAGTCTTGTGAATCCAGTGTTAGTAGAAACATCTCAGTGCTGGTGTAGGTTTCCACGTGGCTCCTCCAGCTCCAGGGCTCTGGCTCTCTCAGTGTAGCTCCATGTCAACAAGAATGTCTCCCAGGGATAGTCTGTATCTGGTCTCCAGTGAGATATTAATCTCTGGTTGTGCCTCCCAAATGAGGCCATCAAGCTACGACCTGATTGACAGGCTAGACTCCACCCCTTCACAAATTGACAGGAGATGTAACTGCCACACAGCCCAGTACCTAATCTACAACACCACCAAGCTACACTAGCGAATAATAATCATACCTAGATTTCATTGAACCCTCACTGTGTGACAGGGACACTTCTAAGCCCCTTCCAACAGACTCACTCACTTAATCTGTCTAAAAAAATCTTTTAAATAGGTATTATCATCATCATCATCACCCCCATTTTGTTGATATGAAAACTAACTCCCAGAGAGGATGCATAGCTAACTAGCCACAGGTCACATGGTTATAAGAGTTGAAGACAAGATTTAAATTATAACCAATTTCAGAACCTAGATTTTTATCTAATTCTGCTTCCACTCCAGGATGAGAAAGCAAGGCATTCCTAGTAGTATAAAAGTTGCATCCCATGGCAGTTTCTCCCTTCCACTCCTGCTGTCTAACGAAGCGCTGCTTCACATTCCTCTGACAGTGCACACTATGGCCAAGCGAGCTGCAGTGATTGGAGCTGGTGTGAGTGGCCTCTCCTCCACCAAATACTTGCTTGGATGAGGACCTGGAGCCCACTTGCTTTGAGAGAAGTAGTGACATTGGAGGACTGTGGCAGTTTACTGTGCATGGCACACTCCGTCCTCCTCTATCAATTATCTTCTGGCAGTTTGCTTTGCCCCAGCTCAGGCACAGTTGCTTTAGTTGACCTTGGCAATTGAGTCAGGGACCAGCTCACTAGAACAATGCATAATCAATGTAGAGCAAGATACGCCACACACTGTTTAGGAGATGGTCTGCTAAGTGATGAATCTTGCAGATTGGCAGGGCACAAGCAGGAATAGTTGGGAGAGAAGAGAACTAATTAAGTCTAATATACAAATGGAAATTCATAATGATTTGTGGACCATAGACAGTGTGATGCAAAGCAACGGAATGTCACATCATAAAAGCTGAACTGGTGAATTGGTGAATACAGAGCGGTGGCACTATGGAAGTCAGCATCAGAAAGTGGAGCCCTTGCCACCAGGCATTCTCCAGGTATTGGGGATGAGAACTGGCAAGGGTGAAGCAGAACTCCAGACCTGGAGCAGTCTACGGGGTGCCGTTCGCACCATCAGAATAAGAACCACCCAGGCACTATCCAAATTAGAGGGTGCTGTGGGGGCACAGTGTCAATTCCAATTCATAGCGACCCTACAAACCACGGTAGAACTGCCTTTGTGAGTTTCCAGACTGTAATTCTTTACAAGATTAGAAAGCCTCATCTTTCTCCTGTCGAGTGGCTAGTGGTTTCAAACTGCTGACCTAGAAGTTAAATCAGCCCAACACACAATCCATTACACCACCAGTAGTGACTAGTAATTTCCCATGATATGACCTAACACAGTGTAATCAATTCCATGGTGGTAGCTGCTGTGAGCAACCAAGCAGGTTTAAGATCGGGGTGGAGTGCAGTTGATGAGAAGTTACTCTGGGGGTGTGGCCTACTCCTATATAACCCTTTTCTACAATGCTGCATCCACTTCCTTGGTATGAATTTCTTGAAAGCTGTATATACACATCACTGGTTTTGATCCTCTAGAAAACTCAGCAAAACACAGACTAAAAACCAAAAGGTCAGTGGGTTGAACCTTGCCCCTGTGGGTTTCCAAGGTTGTACATCTGTATAGGAGCAGAAAGCCTCATCTTGCCCCTGCAGAGTGACTGGAGAAATCAAACGGCTGACCTTGCGGTCAGCAGCCCCACTCCTCACTCACTACACATCAGGGCTTCGTGGTTGCCATGCTAGTTATTGCAGAAGATCGCAGAGTACAGGGAAGAAGTGAGTACTTGTTTCTGCTTTCAGAAGTGGCCGGAGGAAGGTTGTCCCAGGAACGGAAGGCAAGCAGGACAGGGCTGTCTTTGAGGCTGTCCTGATTTGCAGTGGACATTTCCCGAGTCCCCACTTACCTCGGGATTCCTTTTCTGGTGAATCTTTTCTGCCTGGCACCATTTCTACCTAAATTCTTCTAGAAGAAAATTCGTTGATTTACCATTGGCAATCCTTCTTCATGATTATAAAAAAGATATGTGTTCACCCTCAGAAACCATATAAACAGAATCACTCTGAAAGGCATCATGTGTCAGGTGCTCTTGTTTACTTATGAATGTGTTATTTCTATTATCTTTAAGCCACATCATTCCTCATTCAAATGCAGTGACCATATAATGCTCAAAACTATCAGCACTGTCGTTAAAATAAATTAATTAATTCAAAGCCTTGTATTTTTGTGATCTAGTTACAAGCATTTTTATCAGGAATGATCTGTTATTTAAGAACTTAGAGAAAGTGAAGCATTTTGACAGATGTGTTAAGAAACAAGCCAGAAATTACCCGTGCAAAGGAATATTTTCGCCCCGCAAAATAGTCACGGTCAAAACCCAGAGCTACAACCATGGGGAGATCTAAATGCCCCATGGGGACTGTTTTGACTCCTTCGCCAAGTTCTTTGGACGTACTCACAACTGGCAAGCCACTATCTGGGGGTTCAACTGATTGAGAAGCCAAAAGCTGTTCAAATTCAGGTGAAGGCGACAATGTTAGTCAGAATGAGTACAGTGGACCCTCGCCACTTCGCACTTCGACTTCCGCGGCTTCACTCTATCGCGGTTTTTGCGTAACAGCGCATGCTCTGTCATTACTGCCACTGATTGGCTCATACTGTACACGCTTGATGCCATAAATAATATAATAAATAATAAATGATAATTGTAACGTCCAAAATGTTTTACTGTATTTTCCCTTTTTCGTTTAATAAATTGTGTAATACGAGTGTAATGGTGACTAAAGGGTGTTTTTTCATGTCCTCTATGCTCTAACTACGAAAATATTTGATTTACAAGTAAGGAATCCTACTTCGCGGAATTTCATTTATCACGGTAGGGTCTAGAACCGATTAACCACGATAAACGAGGGTTCACTGTATCACTAACAAGCAGTGAAGCTACTATCCGTCTCTCGCCTGTAAGTGGCCTAAAAAGACATGCAGTCCATGAGAAATCAAAAGAACATTTCAGGCAGGATGAGAGCAAAGAAAACAGCTGCAAACCCGGAAACACACAGGAACCATAGCAACCCAATCTCAAACTAACCAAATAGCTACCCTCCACCCGGGAAAAAAGCCCAAATTCAAGTGATAACTCAAATCATGATTTCCCAAAGAAGAAATATTGTAGGTAGTGGTTCCTACAGGCTTGTTTCTGGGCCAAAGGCTAAATATGTAATCATATGGTACTCAAAGAATATATACTACCTCAAATAGCAGTACTTCTAGGGGAAAATGTGCTGAGTGCCCAAAAAATGTATATAGGTCATTTTCGAATTTGTTGTCCTGTTGGATGTAGAATGTTTCACCTTTTACTCCTAATCCCAGTCTGCAACTGGAGAATGCTACCGCAGAAAATCAGCCCAGAGCTGGGAGGCAAGCTACCATGGGTCAGGATGAGCTGCACAAACTGCTGGAGGCAATGACCAGGAAGGTGGCAGGATAAAGATGAACTAGAACAGCCAGGCAGTGGCACGATTTGGCGTGAGAGCAAACATTTCTATATGCCTCAGTAACTGCTGGGCATAAAGTGTGACAATTGACATTTGGGGGTGCCCAGACGATGGGAGGAAGCGATCAGCACAAAGAGCAGTTAGATCTTCTAAGGCAGAGGTCCTCAAACTTTTTAAACAGGGGGCCAGTTCACTGTCCCTCAGACCCGTTGGAGGGCCGGACTATAGTTTTAAAAAAAAACTATGAACACTGCACATATCTTATTTTGAAACAAAAAAACAAGCGGGGGCCAAAACACCCAGCGGGCTGGATAAATGTCCTCAGGGGGCCGCATGTGGCCCTCGGGCTGTAGTTTGAGGATGCCTGTTCTAAGGCATGGGGCCTTTAGGGGGATCTGCTGCTGGGGAGCACGCGGCCAAGCACATTAGTCCCAATGTCCTCTCTATTCTTGGCACGATGTGGCCTTGGTGAGTGGACACAGTGTGAGGAGTCCTCAGAGCCCCAGCTGCTACAGTTCCCTAGGGCAATGACCTTTGATTGGTGTTAGCTGCCATCCAGTGGGTTCTGACCCATAGCAGCCCTATGCACAGCAGAAGGAGAAACCACCCAGTCCGCCACCATCCTCACAATGGCTCTTATTGCAGCCACTGTGTCGATCTACCTTGCCTAGGGCCTTCCTCTTTCTCATTTGCCCTCAACTTTACCAGGCATGATGTCTTTGTCCAGGGGCTGGTCTCTCTGATAACATGTCCACAATGTGAGAGATGTGAAGTCTCACCATCTTTGCCACATTCTTGACAGCAATTCTTCCAAGACGCATCTGTTTGTTTTTGACACTCTGTGGCACTTTCAGTATTTTTCACCAACACCATAGTTCAAATGCATCGGTTTTTCTTCACTTTTACTTATTCAATGTCCAACATGCATACAAGGTGATTGAAAATACCATGGCTTGGGTCAGGTATAACTCAGTCCTTAGGCTTCAAAGTAACAACCTTGCTTTTCAGCACTTTAAAGAGGTCTTGTGCAGCAGATGTACCCGAGGTGCTATGTCATTTGCTCCCTTGACTGCTCTTTCCAAACATGACAAAATTATTGACAACTTCCATCTTTTCTCCATTGATAAGTTGCATTTACCATAGCAGTTATGAACAAAGTCCTACAGCCTGGGTCCAACTACTCCTCCTGGTAGCACGATAGTAGGGAAATTGCTCTCTGTGTGTGCGTGCAAACCTCGATGGATCGGACACACAAGTCCTCATCCATAGAGTGATTACTGATTGGAGCCACTTCCTCCTGTGCGCTCAGGTCCTGCTCCTGCCCAGCCTAAGGGAGTGCTTCTGTGCCCGTCTGGCTTTATGACCCTGTAGGTCAGACAGTTACCCAGTCCATGGTTGTCAATTTAGACTACACCGTGACATGGCAGCCCACGGTTACAAGCCCACAGTGACTTCTCAAAAGGAGAGTAGTTATCTTTAGACGATGGCAAAACTTAACTCAAAATCACTGTGATTCACCCATAGGAGCCGGCCAAAGAGGATAAATAGCATGTGTCTGCCAGAGACATTTCAAAATCTATTGGCTAAGCCAGATCATGTGGTTCAAATGGCAGCGCATCACGCACAGCAGCCTGAACCTGTCCCAGAGACTTCTCTTCTTCTGGGTCCCACTCAAATCTAGCAGCTCTTTGTGTCACTTGATAAACAGGCCAGCGCTCTCTTGAGTTTGATAAACAGGCACAAGTAACATATGTTGGGAATTGCATATGACTTACATGTAATATTAAATATCACAAGAACTTAATGAGATAATCTACATAGAATACTTAGTACAGTGCAGAGCACATAGTGAGCATCCTATACATCCTAGCTACTACTATTTTAAATTATGAGCCAGCGCTAACAGTCATCCGCCTCCTAAGAACTGTTCATCAGAAACTGCTCACTAAGATGCATGAGAATCCATCAGATTAGAAAATGCCTATTCTTGTTAGTAAATTATAGCCCGGTCATAGCAACCATTCCACCTCAGTTCTGGGGTCTCCCACACCTCTTTAGGAATCCGGGGATGGGTAGCACAGAGACCGTTTCTGCTGTAGGTCACCCCTTGTCATTTCCTCTGTTCCACACACAGATTGTGTGAGAGTAACCCTCTAAAGACACATCAGTTGTGATCATTACTAAAGCTTGGTGATCACAGCTGCCTAATTATGTTTGCTCAGTTATTAACAACTGTCCTGAAACTGTCAGGCATTGTAAATGGCATTGAAATGCCTTGTCTCCCTCCTCCTAAGAGAGTTGCTAAGTGTTTTCGAGCACATAGTCTTAGGACAAAAAAGACAGAGAAACGATAACAGCAAAGCATGCCAGGAATTTTTGCTGGCAAAGCAAACTAGGCCAGTTATCCTCATGAGAACCTGAAGGTGTCCATCTCTATGAGCATAATATAGTATACGAAGCTAATAAAGGTGATCTTGAATTGCCAGAACAAGCTCTGATGGTGTAGTGGGTTACTCATTGAGCCGCTGACCACAAGGTCAGTGGTTCAAATCCACCAGGCATTCTAAAGGAGAAAAATGCAGTTGTTTTGCTCCTGTAAAGATTTGCAGCCTCAGAAAACCACAAGGGCATTTCTATTGGCTCTGTCCAATAAGGTTGGAATTGCACAAATGGAAGAAATACAGGTTTGTTTGGGGTTTTGAATTATCAATATTTTGCTTTTACAGCAAATTTCAGAAAAAATCTTTAAAAAGTATTTAAAATATTGATGTTTCTGTGCTACCTGGTCCAGTTATCTGAAAGACTCTCTCTCCAAAATGTTGTATTTTGTAGCTTCAAGTAACTCCTTTGCTTTATGGCATGAAGATTAAAAAAAAAAAAAAAGGGTGGGGGGACTCCTCTTCTTAGCAGATCCCTAACTTCTTTGCCTCCCTAACCCCACCCAAGACACTAATGTGAGGTATAAAAAGGAAAACATGTCAGAATGACAGCTGAACTTCTCTGTCAATTCGCTGCTTTTGCTGAGTAAAATGGTTTTTTAAAAAGCCCACAGTCTTTTTTAAAAATCATTTCACTGGAGGTTCTAACAGCTCTTATCACAATCCATCTATCCATCCATTGTGTCAAGCACATTTGTACATATGTTGCCATCATCATTTTCCAAACATTTTCTTTCTATTTGAGCCCTTGGTATCGGCTCATTTTCCCCTCCCCTCCCCTCCCTCCTTCATGAACCCTTGATAATTTATAAATTATTATGCTTTTCATGTCCTACATCGACCACTGTCTCCCTTCATTCACTTTTCTGTTTCATAAAAGCCCACAGCTTAGACTACGACTGCTGCCTCGTGTTTCTCAGAGTGAGAACCTCCCACCACTCCACCCCAACCACCGCCATAACTTGAGATGCTTATATTTAAAGGAGGTTAAT